ACTACTTATAAAGATGCAATGTAACCAAGAGCTTTCCAGCACCTCATCAGTATTTGATAAAATATGGCAATTTCTGATTGAAACTTTTAAGTTGGGTACTTTATTGTCATAGAATTTCTTTTAACCATATAAGTACTCCAGAGCTAATTTTTGCATTTCGTTGTTCTATATATATAAGGCCAAAAATTTTGGAATTTGAGAGTTGAAATATGTTTTTTTTTTCTCTTTTATTCCATTCCTACATTTCAATTTTATTTTAAAAATATATATATGCATTGTATTTATCAATTGAGGTGTTGGGAGGTGGACCACTTTCCAAGTCACGGACACCCTGGAACAACACTAAGTACTTGCAGGATAAGTGTACCTTGGGGTTAAATAGCTGAGTGCAGCTCACTCCAGTATGTTATAACCACAGATGCACATCAGTATGAGCATGTCCATTGCCGAGATCAACCATGCTGTGACTATTCAGAAAGAGATTGCCGATTTAGTACCAAATTAGGGGCAGTTTTATGCTTTGGGTACAAAGAAAGCTAATTCACATAGGACCCCCACAGGCATATGACAGAAAGCTCTGCAGTCAGGCTGTATTTAAGTTGGTCTCAAATGAAAAGCCTTAATACCATCCAGTCGCTTTCTTTTTACTACCTTTTTTATTCTAAGTAGGATCTGTTTACGTGACTTGAATCTCTTTCTCAAATTATTGGCCTGCACCCATACAGCTCCCCTATAGCCTTTGCTGCAAAGTACCCTTTGTACCTACCAGCTTTTTTCATTTATTTATAGCAAGTGGAGATGTTTTAATGACGTAGGCACACTCCTCTTAATGCACAAATATTAGGTAACGTTTTCATAGGCGCCGTGTTTTGCTGTGCATCTGACAGCCCATAGCACGGGCAAATGTTTAGAGAAACTGCAGACGGGATAAATTCAGTAACAACAGGCTTGAGCTTTAAATGATTGAAGTGTCTCACAGCTTTGAGATATAGGGAAAAGGCTCAGTTATTTCAGGAAACTGTTGTGATGAGTCTTAATTTTGACACAGGGAGGAGGAAGAGCTGCATGTCAAACAGGTTAGAAGGAATAAGTTGGTGAAATGGAGGAAAGCAAGAAAAGTGTGAGAGCATTATTTTGTTTACAGGAGATGAGAAATAGGTTTAGACCATTTTGTCTCTTGAGCCAACCACTGTTCAATAAGCCCATAACTGATCTAATTGAAGATTTAATTCCACTTCTCTGTCTGTACCTGCTTCTCTTTCCTATCTCTGGATTCTCTTGTAGATCAAAAATCTGTCTAATATAATTATATTCAACGAGCCAGCCTCCTCTGCCTTCTGAGGTAGTCAATTCCAAAGATCACTACCTTCTGAGAGAATAAATTCCTCCTCCTCTTCGTTTTAAATGGGAGACCCCTTATTTTGAAACTTATTCTGGATTCCTCCAAGAGTGCCCCTCTTATTATTCTTATCAGAATTATATCGGAGCAGAAACCAAGAGGTTTCACAGGGATCAGTGCTGCAACTGCAACTGGTTACAATATTATATTAATGACTCGGAGGAAGAAATTATGTACTGTGGCTGAATTTGGAGGTGACACAAAAAGAGGTGGAAACACATGTCATGAGAGAGATGCAAACAGTTTACAGAAAGAGACAGATAAGTAAGTGGGCAAATGGAGTAAGGTGTGGGAAAAGGTGAAGTTGTTCATTTTGGAAGGGAGAACAAAAGACCAGAGTATTATCTAAATACAGAAAAAGACTGCGGAAAGCTGCAACACAAAGAGATTTGGGTGATAATTATGCACAAAACTCAAAAACCTAGCCTGTTGGTATAGCAGGTTATCAGGAACACTTATTTCGAAGGGGTTGGAATATAAGAGTAGGGAAGTCTTACTGCAGCTGTACAAGTTGTTGTGAGACCACATACAGTCATACAGCATGGATACAGACCCTTCGGTCCAACTCGCCCGCGCCATCCAGACATCTCAATCTGACCAGGTTCCATTTGCCAGCATTTTGCCCTTATTCTTCTAAACCCTTCCTTTTCATACACCCATCCAGATACCTTTTAAATGTTGTAATTGTACCCACCTCCACCACTTCCTCTGGCAGCTCATTCCATACACGCACCACCCTCTGAGTGAAAAAGTTACCTCTTAGGTCCCTTTTAAATCTTTCCCTTCTCAACCTAAAGCTATGCCCTCTAGTTTTGGACACCCCCACCCTAGGAAAAAGACCTTGGCTAATTTGCACTTAGGCCCGACCAGGTAAAGCTAGCAGATTTCCTTCCCTGAAGGACATAGTGACGGTCATGTCTACTGAGACATGTTTGACATTACAGATATATTAATTGAATTTAAATTCCCCAGCTTCTGCGATAGTAGGAACTGCAGATGCTGGAGAATGTGAGATAACAAGATGTAGAGCTGGATGAACACAGCAGACCAAGCAGCATCAGAGGAGCAGGAAAGCTGACGTTTCGGGCCTTGACCTTTTTTCAGAGAATTTTCTGCTTTCCTGCTCTTGTAATGCTGCTTGGCCTGCTGTTTCCCCAGCTTCTGCGCTTGGATTTCAACCTGTGTTCTCAGAACAATAGCTTCTGGGAATATTATTTCAGTGCCATTAACCCATGCCACAGTCTTGCCTTGCTCGTTATGATATTCATTCTGATACCTCCTGCGATACAAGCAGTAAAGTTGGGTAGTTCAAGTTTGAATGCTGCTTTAGAGCGATTAGGCTGCCCCACCTGGTATTTCAGAAGAGAGGCAGCTTTCCACGTGTCTCAACCAAGGTTTGACTTTCAACAGCACTGAGGGCAGACTGTCATTATTCCATTAGTGTTTGTTAGAACTTGTGTGCAAATTAACTGCCATGGTCCTTCACAACAACAGTAACTTCACTTAAAGCTTGTGGAAATGTATTTTTAAAGTACTTTGGAATAGCTTGAGATTATCAAAGAGGCTGTTTGAATTCAAAGCTCTTCTTTCTTTCTCATCATACAAGATGCCAGGCTTCAGTACACCACACTTTGTCATCAGCATTCATTCATCATGTAATTTCATATTAAGACTGGAAGGCCAAACATGAATGACAAGAGAATCAATAATGGGAAATAAATGAAAAGGAAATAAGTAAATGTTTTGTGTCTGTCCTCAAGGAGGAAGACATCTCTCTTAAATAATTGAGATCCAAGAATCTAGTGAGAGTGAGGAGCTAAAAGAATTTCATAAAGGAGAGCGTATTGGAGGAATTATTGGGTCTGAAAGTTGAGAAGTCCCCAGGATTTGATGATCTTCAGCCTAGAGTTTTAAAAGAGAAGACTACAAAGATGGTGGATGCATTGGTGACCCTCTTTCAAAAATGTATTCATTCTTCAATGCAACATGCCATTTGGAAGTTTGCAAATATTCTAAGAAAAGGAGGGAGAGAGAAACTGGAGGCAACAGACTTATTAGCCTGACATCAATATTGAGGAAAATACATGAATTTATTTCAAAGGTGTGATTATTGGAGTCATAGAAAATATTTGTCTGACTGAGCAAAGCTGATGTGGAACTTTGAAATGGAAATTGTGTTTGGCAAACCTGTTGGAGTTTTTGAGGAAATTAAGAGCAGAGTCAACAAGGGGGAACAGGCGGATGTGGTGTATGTGAATTTTCAGAAGGCGCTTGATAATGAGGATGTTAGGAAATAAAATTCAAGTGCAGAGGATTAGCAGTAATGCACTGGCATGCATTGGTGATTGGCTAACAGGCAGAAAACACAGAGTAGGAAGGCAAAAGGTACATGCGCCTTTATTACGAGAGAAGCAAAGAAATCTCACTTCAGTTGTAGAGAAACTCATGAGACCACACCTGGAGTATTGTATGCAGTTCAGTACTGTTGCCTCAGGAGAGGTATACTTGCCATAGAAAGTGTGCGGCAGAGGTTATCCAGTCAGATTCCTGGGATGATGTAACTGTTCTAGAAGGAGAGATTAACAAGACTGGGTCTTTATCGTCTGAAGGTTAGAAGAAAAAGTGGCAATCTCATAGAGACTTCCAAAAGGTTGGACCTAAGGGTCTGATTCATGCTGTATGAGACTATGACTCCATGAATAGACAGGATAGACGCAAAAAACTGTTTTTCCCCTGGAATGGAATCTAGAACCATGGATACCATCACAGATTGAAAAGCAAGCCATTTAGGACTAAGACGAGGAGAGACATCTTCACTCGGAAGGTATTGAATCTTTGAAATTCTATATCCCAGAGGGTGGTGGAAACTCAATCATTGAGTAAAGTGGACTAACATCATCAAGGGCTACGGTGACAATGGCATTGAGACCGATGATCAGCCATGATCTAGAATGGCAGAGCAGGCTCAAGGGGCTGAATGGCCTACCCCGCCTTTGTCTGAGAATGGCAAAAAGAATTGCAGTAGCAACCCTAGGATTGGTCAGCCACTGACAGTCGAGTAAGATATTCTAAATAAATCAGCATTGGTTTCCTTTTGAGAAAATATCCTGCAGTTTCTTTTTTTAAATTTTGAAGTCCCTTACAGCTAACCCTACCACTTGTGAAAATAATGTGAGGTGACACCTAGAATGATACATTGCATATATTTTGAGATGTGTCAGTTGCGTGGGGCAACTTGGTATATCGCTGTCATTTTTGGAGTTGCCCTTTATCACCCATTCGGGGGCGGAATTAGTTAGTGTTTCAATGCTGCACCACACAATTAAGTAATCACTTTTAATAGCATTGAGTGTTTTGTTATACCAAGGTCACATGTTAAAAGGTGGAGTGGAGTTTGAACTGAATTTCAGGTTGAGCAGCTCTTGATAATTAAAACCTTAATTGTACAAAGTACAGCTTGAAAAAATAATATGCTGATATTCTCACTTTAACATGCATTTCAGATGATCTCTGAAGGTGGGAGCAGCAGCCCTTTGCTATATGTTTTCTGCTTCTTTCCCTTTCATCCTGTTGAATGTCTCATGTTTCTTTTTACCGCTAGCTTGAAGACCCTTTGTCATTCCCTGCTGTGATCGTAGAACAAGTGCCAAACACGGATTTGTTCTATTCGAGCCTGGATTGTGATGAGGTTTCCACCAGAATGATGGATGATACGACTTTGGATGTTGTCGAAGAACAAATAATAGAGGACAACATTGGTCTTTCAGGTGTGTATCTTGTAAGAGTAATAGATTTGATTCATATTGAGGAAAGGCAACTGTGCATCACACAGGAAGCAATTTATGGCAATTCATCACCAGCTAGAGAAGGTGGGTTTTAAATTTCTGCTCAATGATAATACTTTTGCCTCTGAGCCAGAAGGTTGGGATTCCAATGCTCACTTTAGCACCTAAACACCAGCGTATTTTCCAAGCGGATATTCCAGTATGACTACTAAAGTAGGGCCACACTGCCTTTCTGAAATGCGAATAAACCAAGCGCCCTGTCAACACACTCAGAGGTGCATACAATATCCCATGGCACTATTTTTTAAGAATATGAGTACCCTAGCAACATTTACCTTTCCGCCAACATCACCTAATTATCTGCTCATCGTCTAATTGCTATTTGTGAGAGGTTAGTCTATGATGACTGGTGGCTCCCATTCCTATATTACAGCAACAAGCGACATTAAGAAAGTACCTAATTGGTTGGAAAGATCTTTGGAATATCCTTTTAAATAGGAAAGGCACATTATAATATTTATTTCTATTATCTTTGCAACCCTTCCTCCCCTGCTCAGGATCGTACCTCCCGCATCCCTCTCATCTGACCTGTTTGTCCTTTGAGGCCCCTTGCCTCATTTGGAGTTTTCCCCACTCAACTGTAAGTGATGCCTGTATCTCTGGCTGACAATCAACAGGAGATGGAGTGAACTCTTGATTAACATGCAGGATAAACCAGACTTCCGTATTTCCCTGTGTTAATTAATGCCCCATGTCCCAACTACTTGTCAAACCAGAAACCTACCAATGCATCAGAATCTTAGCAATAATTACCACTGACATTTTCCACTTTTATCGGCCGACCAGATCAAACAAATTATTCTCTTAGTGATTTTCATTGAATTTGATTGGAAAGGCGTAATAAACACACTGACTTGCTTGGGTAGGCAATGTCAAGATGTTTTCGTTTCTTTCAATTGGTTGTATGAAAGTTTGTTTCCATGTAGTGAGATACAGCTGGTTGTTCTAATCAAGTAGATTTGTGATGATCTTGAAGTGAGGCGGTCAGAGATTACTGACCTGTAGCAAGCATAGATAGTCACATACTGCAATCTGCCTTTCTACCACTGTTATAATATCTACTGCCAATCATAGACGAATTGCCTTAACATGAAAGGAGGACAATATGAAGGAATCTCCAAATAATTGGGGCTTTGAGCTCAGATAAAAGTTTATGAATATACTATGATCATAGTCAGCATGGACAAAATGGGCCAAATGGCTCCTTTCTGAGCTGTATCGTTCCTGTGTTTCTATATAGGGATAAGATCACAACTTGTGCAAGGCAAATTTAAGAATGATATAAAAAGGTCCTGTCCTGTATTGTATGTTAAGATTTGGGCCCAGATTTTCCTGGAGTTGGAACACCTCTTAGCTTTCCTCCATGGTAAATGAAAACTAAGTTCAGAAAGTCCTCATCATGCCCCTTGACCCCTCATACCCTCCATACCAACCCAATTCTAACTCAAGCCCATTTACTCAGCATGCATTATGTGTACAATTAATGAGCCAAATAGCGGCAAGTGCCAAACTGCTGAAAATCAAAAAAACACTCATTCAGAAATGCCGTTTGCGGGGAAAAGAACTGCTGTTCCGATAACAGTATGAAAGTATCAATCAAACACATTTAAAGTATCAGTATCACTGGAGAAAATAGATTCCCTCCCTTTCTTGGTGTGGGCTGTTGGGTGAACACACACAATGAGGACAAACATTCTAATCGGTCCACGTCAGCACTCTCCCTGCCACCACCCACCAATCTCGTGGCCGTTTCGGATGTACTCCAATGGTCAACAGGCTAGAATCTAATAGGAGGAACCAAAGGGAGCGTCAGGTCAGTACAAAATTGGAGCCAAAATTATATACAACTGGCCGTTTTGAATTGAGGTAAGTATGCTGAGTTGGGAAATTCCCTAACTTGAGTTACCTGCCTCAGTAGACTTTTGGTCAGGCCAGTAAAGGCCAAAGCATTGGGATCATGTAGGAGACTATTAGATGTTATGATGATGGAGTTAGTAAGGTTTTACTTTGAATGTACTAAAGTGACCTTCCTCCAATGTATTTGCAATCATAATTGAGTGATTTATTTCTACCAGGGTGGTGGATTTTTATGAATATACAATTATTTGAGTGTTATGGAAGTCAGTGTTTGGTTCCCAACTGCACACTGTCACTAATTTGAAATTTGTTGTATATCATGTGGTTAGTTTAAATTAGTACTGTGCATTGTTCACCATGTCTCAAGTGAGGGGAGAGGTTGAGAAGGAGAGTCCTTCATGGTAACCTCAGCCAGTGCAAGATTTGAACCCACATCATTGGCATCAGGCCACCTATGTTAATTTATCAGCTGAGTATTGGATTAATTCAGCTACCTACAAACAGTAGTGAAAAACTTCCCTGAAAAGCTGTTTTAAGGATGTCACATCTAAAGGGGTCTTTATGTAAATCTATGTTGAATCTAAGTTTTTTTTTTTCCTCCCTTGTCTCAATTCATTTCGACTGGATCTGCTGTCAACACTATTGTTCATGTGCATACAAAAAAAATTGAATTTCATGTGCAGACTTCACTTTATTTCAAAATAAAAATTAAGTTTCTGGTTTAGAGATTGCCTTTACAATAAGTCAAGTCTAGGAAGCAATGACATTACAAACAGCAGTTCCTAAATGAACTGTAAGACAACTGATCTTCATGGAACACACAGTTACCATCACACAAAGCTAATATATTTACCATGTGCAAAATATACCACCAACATTATATGGAGATTATAATCATACCAAAACCGGCTTTTCAGATTAGTGTAGGATGGCTTTAGCTGTGAGCAGCACTAACATAACAAAACATCGTCTAACTACTTTGTTCGCTGAGCAGCATTCAACATTCATTCTCTACGCTAAGTAGAATTATAGAATAGTAGAGCACAGAAGGAGTCTATCTAGTTAATTGAATCTGTGCCAGCTCTTTCTAAAGCAATCCAGTTAGTCTCACTCACCAGCTCCCTGTGTTTCTCATGTATGGGCTAACTGTTGGCCATGACATCAGGGAAAACTTCCTTCAGTTTTCTTCAAATCATCTCAAAAGAGCTTTTACGTATACTGATCAGGCTGACAGTGTGTGGGTGTAACTCTGTATCTGAATGAATGCTTCTCCAACAGTGCATTCTTTCCTCTGAAGGTACTGATGTGTCAGCTTAGGGTTCGTACTTTGTCGTCTTTCTTATCCTTCTGAATTTATAGATGCTGCAACGCTTAGGTCGATTTCTGCAAGAATCTGATCAGAGCCAATTGCTTTTGAAAACAGATTTGCTCCAGTAAAATTTAGAGCAGACCTGTTCAAATTTCATTTTGAAAACCTTTTCAAAGGTGAGAAGGACAGTTACCTATCTATAGGGGGGAAAGTGTGTAGTGTGTAAAGGAAAATAGGCTCCTCACTGAATATTGAGTTAACATTGCAATTATTATCCAGATCATAATTTATGAAATTAAACTATTTTTGTACTGACCTGAAGCTCCCTTTGGTTCTTCCTAGTAGTAAAGAGGGCATTTTGAAATTCTCACTTTTCACCATCTAGAGAGAAAGCCTTATTGTGAGGGAGATAACATTCAGTTGATTCTAACAGATGTTATGAAAACGCTGACCATAATTTCTGGAGATCTTGAGACTGTCACTTTGGTCTAGACATTTTCCAATGTTTTTCATCGTCCTCCAGATTTTGATATCGCTGGTAAAACACAGCATTAATTGCCCACCTGTGACTGCCTTTGGAAACTGGTGGTGAATCACCATCTTGAACTGCTGTGTTGTTCGTTTCCTGCCACAATCTGGTTAAAATGCAAGTGTAACTACAATGCAACTTAACAACCAAAAAATAAAACTCCAATCCCAAAGTGCACTCTGGCTTCAGTCTATATGTAAACTGACATTATCATGGTTCCTGGATTATAACCAAAAGAATCTGATCACTTGACTTCTTCCGTCACATAATCATAAAAGTAAATTTACAAAAATTATGTACAGGTGATTTGGAAAGGAAAATGTGTGACAATAACCAAACGTAACCTTTATAACTAGCCCCATTATTTCTATATACTTTCTATATAATAAAAAAAGCAGATACGTCTGCACTCAGACCTGAATATGTTTGCATAGTGAACCCTTAGTATCAATCAGCTATTAGGAGAAGTGTGGGGTAGAGGTAAAGGTAATTTCAACAAGGGGGACAGGGAAACTGGAAGGTATGTGACCATGGACCATGCACACTATTGACAAGAGGCTGCTGTCTACATTTCTGATTGAAGGAGTATGTTTGTCTGGTTGTGTGTATTTGTGTGTTTATGGGCAAGCATGTGGTTAGTCAAGTATTTAATAACACAAGATGAAAAAGGAGCAGCGGAATCATTACATTGTGTTAAGTTCAACCAATTCAGCTATTGGTTCACATCAGATCATGCAAAAATCAGCCTTCGTGCTGTGTCATATAATCAATCCAGCGAAGTGCTTTGGCTGCTGTTCCCTCACCACAGCTGACTGCACAGGTTGATGAAGACAAAGTGCAGCTTATTGAGATAACCCATATTTTCAAGATCCAGTGAAGGAAGAGAGGAATTGTAAAGTGCCAGACTAACAGGCTTTGAAATTTCATTTTGATTTTTAAATTGTGTGTTTACTGACAATTGAAGGAGTGCCCTTGCTAACTGGAGAGTTCCCTTCCTTTCCTCCACCCAACAGACTCCTCTCTATCACTGATATGTTTCATGGATACTTGTGTGTATATCAGATGGAGTTAGGAGATGGAGTAGGCCATTTAAACCCTTAAGTCTGCTTCACAATTCAGTAAGGTCTTGGTGATTGACGCCTCAACTCCGCTTTCCTATTTATTCCCAAAGCCATTTGAATCCCTAGTTGGACAAGAATCGATCTACTTCTGCCTTAAAAATAACAA